ATTGACAAAATAAAACAATTAGGCATCATAAAGCGACTCCACGGACCAGGCCCCGCTGTCAGCATTGCGCCATGGGCCTCGCAAACAATAAAGCCGGTCCTGAGAGTGCTTGCTCTTCGTGTGATAACATTTAATTATCTCCAGCCAGTACCATTCAGAGGAGACCCGGGCTACTTGGAGAGTCTGAGGCCCCTGGACTTCGTTAAATTAAAATTTTGAATTGAATGAAATGCCTAAACAATACCATATAATTTCATTTACATAGATTTTAAATGACAACTGAGTATATACACAACTAGACTTATTTAGAAATCTAAAAATCACTAGTAAAAATTGAGGCCCCTCAGGGGTTGAGTTCCGGTCTATATGGCTCTTTGCCCTTTCCCCCTCCCCCCGCATTTGAACCTGACGGTGTGCATTATACATAATTTCAACTTTCATCGGAGCTAATAGACCTTACGACAAGGAACCGCCAGCTTTTAAACTCTTCAGCGGCGGCGACTGTTGGTTCTCTGCAAACCCACACGTAATGTTTTCTATTCTAATCACTCCGCGATGGCGTTTTTATGGAAAGCCGCTATGGAAAGCCGCAGGTACCCGGCGGTGATCAAAATATTTTCCTATATTTTTATATAGGCAACAATTAGCGGCTCCAACAACAATTAGCGGCTCCTAAAATGACGGTGATTACAATTTTTTTCTATATTTTTCATATTGACAACAATTAGCGGGTCCATCAATAATTAGCGTCTCCTGCTACAAATAGCGGCTCCTAAAACACTTTATATAATCTACGTCTCCGTAAAAATAATAACAATTAACGGCTCCAAAACAGATGAAGCTCAGTCTACAAACTACAATCACCGGCTCGTTCAACAGTAACGCCGCTGATAATTTTGAGCTCCGACTTTACTAACGAGCGAGATTTCAACTAAACAAAACGAGAGCTACTAAACCACAATCTCCGGCTCCTTCAATAGTGACGCCGCTGATAATTTTGAGCTCTGATTTTACTACCAAACCGAACGAGATTTAAACTTAAAAACGAGATTGTAATCACGTGCTTTCATATTCGGAATACTACCATCTTATCTGCATCAATACACTATAGTTGTGTCCTGAGAAGTTTAATATTTGTTTTTGTTCATATTTCATCATTAATTCAAACAGCCGTTTCTGTTGAGTAGCCACGTTAAGGTGAGTCTATCCGCATCAGTAGTATTTAACATTGTTACTCGATATTTTCACTAGCCTGCTGGTAGGATTTATCTTAATATATCTTTTTTGTCATTAATTTTTTTTTTGTTTTTACCTTTGCAAAATTTTTCTATACTATACTGTACTGTATAGGCCCATTGGAGCCGTTAATTGTTATTATTTTTACGTAGATTATAAAAAGTGTTTTAGGAGCCGCTAATTGTAGAAGGAGACGCTAATTATTGATGGAGCCGCTAATTGTCGTCAATATGAAAAATATAGAGAAAAATTGTAATCACCGTCATTTTAAGAGCCGCTAATTGTTGTTGGAGCCGCTAATTGTTGCCTATATAAAAATATGGGAAAATATTTTGATCACCGCTTGGGTACCTGCGGCTTTCCATACGTTTTATCTTTCCGTTGTTATTAGTTTCCTAATTTCTTGTGTACGATTGTAGAAGTCAACATACTAGGTTAGATTATACAATCTGTTTTCAATTACGCCCTAATTTGTTATTCAGTTTGATTATCTTCCTTCCCCCGTTTCGAGATTGCGAACAATGGTATAATTGATTTCAACGCATGAAAGGTCTTCATGTATCAAAGTGATCGGATAATTAACCGTTTTTATTAAACTAATACAACAGTTATTTCCCCAATACACCGTTTAACATTCAAGAGTGTCAAAGAAGCTTCTTTTGATATATAAAAAATGGGTAGATGAAAGTCTAGTTATCTATGCGTGCCAATCCCACAGAAGTAATTAAAATAATTGTTTCCTCTTGTTGATGCCAATGAAAATTTTAAGTTTATAAACTATATTCTTAAGCAAATAACACCACATTATGTATTGCTAATTTTCATATAAGACAATGAATTGTTTTGCATTCACGTCAACGTGATGTAATCTTAATAATTTACACAGCATGACATCGTCATCAAAGTAATAATGTGTGATTTATGAAATTTGAAAAGTAGACCGAGTTATGGTGTCACCCTGCTTCTAATCGGGACCAGCCATGTAATTTTAATAGTGGGACACAAGGTCTGGAATTTTTTGGAAGAAACAATACCTGCCCTTAAATAAAATGCCATAAAATATTTATCCTACTCTCATTAACAGATTTTCTAAAACAAAGAAATATATGTTGTATTAAAGAAAAGAAAAGAAACTCACCACATTCTACCCCCCCCACACACACACACACATACACACACAAACCAAACAACCTTCGTGTGTGTGAAATCAGTCCTTTAATTAACTGTAAAAATAGAACTTCGCAGACATGAAAAGCATCTTACGTAATAATTTCTTTTTAAGAGGAAACGGAAAAGATGTTAAAAAATATATGCAAAAACAAGAATTGTAACGAACGAATTTCACGTATTTTTCATATGAGTGAGATTCATTTTACTCATGTAATATGTACACATGATTATACATAGAGAGTATATTTAGATGCACGAGGAAGTATATATCAGTTTGAAAATACCTACCTATCTATTCCTATTTACGTATCTATCTATCCATTTAAATTGAGCTCCAAGTGGTGGCACTTCATCGTAATGTGACAACCATTATTAGTTCTAATGCGGAATGTTTTCATTTCCAGATCATAATTTAACCCCAGGCTATCTTTATTACCACCTTCAGTATGGGGACCTGATTAATAACGACAAAATCTTACGATTTTTTTAATTCTTAAAATAGGTGAAAGAAAGTGAAAAAAACAAATTACGTAATATTCATCAAGCAATCTTGCTCTAAGCTAGAGTAAAAGCTTAATAGAAATCATAAATGATACCAAAGAGTCCTACAACCAGTCCACAAGTATAGCATGTTCCGAATGGATTACAAAAGGCATGACTGTCCTGATGTATCACACTGATGTAATCCAGAATGTTTTTGAATGAGTTCTTAATAATCCAAAGGTAATATTTTAACCTAAAAGCTCACGTCTAATTCCAATGAATAATTGAAATAATTCCACTCAAATTATATATCAACACAAATATCAGGTTTTTTTTCTGAAGTCTGATCAGAGACAGGAATGAAAAAAGTACGGCAAAAGAGTGTAATATAATTTAACAAAACAATTTATTTCCCTAGACAACAATGTAAAAATTGGTAAATAGGACTTACGGTTTGTGAATATAATCCAAAATTTGATTCTAAGAATGAAAACACAAGTCCTATCACTAAATAGTCCTTTTAGAATCCTGGTTCTAGTCCCGACGACGTACAAATATAAAAGCTGATTTTAGATGTGGTTCAATATACGAATAAACAACAACTTCTCACTTGAATCACAGTCTTTGTTTCCGAATAATTTCAGAAAAAATGTCCATGAATATATAAAGAATGTTTATAAAAAAAATTAACTTGATGATTTTCCAGAGAAATAAATTATTCTATATAAAAATCAGACGAAGAACAAACATTCTTGGCAACAAATTAAAAAATACACCTTGCTCCTTCAATGTGTTGAATGACTATGTAAAAAATATTAAGATTGCATATATAAAACCACTAAATATTATTTCAAGTCTCGCGAGATTAGTTATGTGGTCTCTTACTACGCTAACATTAGCACGTAGACCAATTTGTATTCACTTAAAAACCAATCATAAAAATATTGTTTACCAAAAGTGATCACGCAAAGAAAGTATGCCCATGATACTGATCAATCATTTAACTTCCTGTTGATATTGTTGCCAGCTCAAGACGAACTAAAAGATAATTCTCACGTAATACTTCTTCGTCTTAAATAAAGAAATTTGTTAAAAATATCTCATTACTGAAAAAATCTCTTGAATCTAACAAGATATTCATTGCAATAAAAAAATTAAACAAAAATGAAATAAAATGAATTTTAAAACTTACACTAAATCAATTTAATCACATACACGTAACAACATATATATATATATATATATATATATATATATATATATATATATATATATATATATATATATATATATATATATATATATATATATATATATATATATATATATATGCAATAAACTGATGACGAGCAATGTAAAACTAGTATCTAACTAGCCTGAGGAGAGCTTTCGACACTTAATGAGTCTATATTAAGAAAAATATACAAAACATAGGCAAGGCAAACATATAACACATAAAAACCAAAGTGTTTAAAAATTTGACATGGTTTTTTCTACAGGAATCAAATCCTTAAATGTATTCTGTTTCATCTAGTTTATTCAGCTTGTTGCGGATACTGGAAAATATTTTTATTGATCTAGACATGAATGAGCCATAACGACATATTATATTATGTACATTTATGTAAGCGCAAATTATATACCGGATATTTCATAGTTATAGAAGTAATGGCGTGCTATTAACCAAATTTAGAGAATTATTTGAATGATACTATATCGGCTGCAAAAGATAATTTTTATCTGTGCATTACTGTTTTTTTTCTGTTCCTCTTGGTTGAAACCGTTTGATTTCTATGTTCTAAGGCGGCGTATCCAGTACGATTACGTGTATTTCCTGGCTTCGGACCTATAGTTGGAATTAGTGTATGTGAGTGTGTGTTTATGATTTTTAACGTAGCTTTAACAATTTTTCAGTCATATCGCTATGATGTCTGCAGTGTGGCAGTTTTTATTGATGTCTAGCACTGGGGCATCATGCCGCAGACATTTTGCATGATGTCCCACCCAGTCACATTATCCTGACACCAGGCAGACCAGTCCTAACACTAACCTCTTAATGCTGAGCGTCAAGCGAGGCAGCTGTTAGTACCATTTTTTGTAAATCTTTGGTATGACTCGACCGGGGATCGAACCCACGACCTCCCGCATTCGATGCGGACGCTCTAACCACTAGGTCCCTATTGGAATTAGAGAAGTTGCAGTATGTATGTATGTATGTATGTATGTATGTATGTATGTATGTATGTATGTATGTATGTATGTATGTATGTATGTATGCATGCATGCATGCATGCATGCATGCATGCATGCATGCATGCATGTATGTATGTATGTATGTATGTATGTATGTATGTATGTATGTATGTATGTATGTATGTATGTATGTATGTATGTATGTAAAACAAACAACACCAACACGTAGAATTCATCAGTCTAGTACCTAACAACAAGAAAACTCATCATTGAAAATTACCAGTGAGAAATCAAAACGATATCAAGAATCTAATGAATCAGCAAAAGAAACTTACTTCATCAATGTGAAAAATAAATGTGCAAGAACTAAGAAACTTCACGAAATTAACAACAACCAAGAAACGAAATTTGGCAAGCATCACCAACATGAATAACCTATTAACCAAACCACAAAGAACAAAATTATAAACCCCTTCAAAATAATTCGATGAAAAATCAGGCGAAAAACGTAATAGCCCCTGGCACACAAAAGGCAAACCTACGCAGATTTAGTTAGAAATGGGGCGAAGAAAATTACAAAGGAATCTAACACAGCTGTAATAACAGCAGTGAAAAGTCTAATGGAAACCCTAAAGGATCTGTTACAGACAACACAAACAGAAGAAAGAATAGAAGATTTATAAGAATGCAGAATAAAAACAGATGGAGGAAAGAAAAGAAAAGACAAAAGGAAATCAAAAGAGGAACAGAAACTATATTAAACCTTTCTAAGCGAATTCTAACCAATAGTGATTATTTTCTTTTAGGAAAGGGGTTAGTTATACCGTTTGAGAACAAAAGTACGCGACAATATTACGTTATCAGAAGCATTTTCTAAATATAAAAGATCATTATAATTTAAAGAATTTTTATTACCATCATGCACAGATTCCAAAAATGAAAGTAGTTTTCATCTACATAATAAGCCTTTTTTCAATAAAAAAAGAATCATCATTCACACCTAATGGACGAGATATTTATCTCCATTTTTATATTAAAGCAACTCAGCAAGAACTTTTAAATAACAATCCTAAAAGAAAATATTTTACAAACATATCTAAAGAATTAAATTCATTATGTTCTTTAGCACAAAACGAAAGCATTATTATTAAAAAGAAATGATAAGTCTAGTACCATAGTAATAATGAATAATGAGGATTATATTAAAGAAGCTGAAAGTCATTTAAATGATGATGGATATTATGAAAAACTTTCTTATGGTCCTTCTGAAGAAATTAAAATAATAATAAGCAAATTTATTGATAAAATCTCTATGCAAAATTGTTTTATTTATGATGAACTAGATATTTTCAACAAAAAAGAATACGCACGCCTCAGTTTTATATTTTACCCAAAATACATAAAACGGCGGATAAGTCACTATCTTTAGGCTATCCAGGTAGACCCATTATTTCAACATGTTGCTCAATTACATATAACATATCGCATTATATTGATCATATTTTACAACCACCGATGAAATTATTACCTTCTTATGTTAAAGATAATTTTGATTTCATTACAAAATTAAAATCTATACCAAAACTACCTGAAAATTCATTCCTGGTTACATTTGTTATGGTTCCACTTTACACAAATATACCACACAATGATGGTATCAAAGCGTGTAAATATTATCTTGAAGAAATCGAATATACATGTAAACTATCAAAAGAACAACTTTTTAACTTGTTAAAAATTGTGCTTGAAAATAACTATTTTCCATTTGGTAATACAAACTATCTCCAAAAATTGGGAACAGCTATGGATAGTCCTATGTCACCTTCTTATGCATCTTTATTTATGGGGAAATTAGAAAATGAGTTTCTTGATAAACGACTCTTAAAATAAATGTATGGTTAAGATTTTTAGACGACTATTTTATGATTTGGAATTATCCATTAAAAGGTCTTTATGATTCTATAGACTGTTTAAACAAATTACATCCAACAATAAAATTAAAATTCAATGTGTCTAAAACTAAAGTATAATTATCTGACGTACAGGTCGCGAAAAATGAAAATAATGACATAGCCACAATGGTTCGTGTTAAAAACGCAAATATTCATCAATGTGATGAGTATTCTTCATGTCATCCTAAATCATGTAAAAACGGGATACCATAGAGTCAAGCAAAAATATACAAAAGAATTATTTAGGATTACACTGTTTATAAATCGGCATTGACATAGTTAGGACAGCACGTTTTTAAATAGAAATTTCCCTATTGACATCATTTATACTGCTTTTCAAAAAGAATCTTCTCTTACGCAACTTAAATCGATACAATGTAAAATCAAAAATAGAAATGAAGATAATCCTTTTTGTTATTGAATATAATCCAAGTTTGCCTAATATAGGTAAGATTTTCAATAAATATTGGGATTTATTAAAATTAACATGTAAAGCAAGTGTTAAATCGCTACACAAAAGCAAACCCACAATTGCTTATAAAAGGACTAAAAATCTTAAAGATTTTCTAATTAATTCTAACTTTAAAAAAACATTATATAAAAATGGATCATCGACTAAATGTAATAGACCTAGATGTTAGCGCTGTTCTATTAATGAAAAAAATATATATATATATATATATATATATATATATATATATATATATATATATATATATATATATATATATATTGTTTTCATGAGATCTTTGTTGCCATTGTTAGCTATTATACACAGCTTCAAAAAAATCTGACGATTAACGATCACATTTAGTATGATGTAGGCGATGTTCAAGATTGTATTTAATGACTTTTCTCCAGATTCTTGCTCAAGAACATTTGATGTGTGTCCTCTCTAATATAACAATCCTCTCAGCACAGAAATAATCAATTTGCTCCGATATATTAGATCTTTTGCGAGTGCGAGTGCGTTCTTTTTATCGCATTAATTGAAGTTATTGGATAGGAGGTTCTGTTTATTAAATTCTGTTCAAAAGTTGTTGTCTTGTAATGGACGTACAACGCCTTGCATTTTAGATAATCTCTGGTGTAAATATTGATCACACGTAGTGTATCTTTAGGAGTAAACAGACATTTGGAATGCTTTGTGGTCAATCGGAGATCTATAGGCAGGTCGTGATTGTATTTAATTTCATTTTCAGAAAATATACTCATAAAAATTTAGAGATTGGTTTCTTAATTGGAAATGTGTTTAACATATTTCCCCAGTTGTACATGCAAAGCTTCGACATTTCACCTATTAAGGAGGACAATTGTCTAACAAATGTTGTATGAAGTATTACTTCAATTAGTCTTTCTTCAGTCGCTGTGAATATTGACACTGAATTAGCAACAAGATGTGTGTCGGATCGAGAGAAGAAATTAGTCAATAAGAGTTCTAATTGTGTACTTAAACAAAGGTAGCCTGCACCTTTAGGATTTTATTGTGCTTGGTACTATAGCAGGGTGTGAATCTGGAGGCAAGAAGGGGTCAAGGAGCAATTTTCACACACGTGAAAACAATTTGCAAATGGCTGGCACTATTGGAGTAGGGGTAGGAATACTGTAGCTGTAATTTTATTACTGTCAGGATATTGCTAGTACCTAAAGGATGTCACTAAAGATTTTGTAACACTCAATTCGTTATCTGCATAAAAAGGCAAATAAAAAATAACGTACTCATAAAAACTCGATATTCCAAAAGGTTAAGTAAGAATTATTATATTCAATCCCAATGAAAGGATCATAAAACCGCTATACTGTTCTGATAAGTTAATCAAGAAGTCCAGAAAGTTTATGACCTATGCAATTAATATTTACTATCCTTTATTCAAATTCACATAATGTATATATATATATATATATATATATATATATATATATATATATATATATATATATATATATATATATATATATATATATATATATATATATATATATATATATATATGCATACATGCATGCACAACATGTGGAAATGTAAACCTTCATTTAGATTACATACATACATACATACATACATACATACATACATACATACATACATACATACATACATACATACATACATACATACATACATACATACATACATACATACATACATACATACATACATACATATATTTTTAAGTTGCTATATTATGTAGTTGCTCACTGGCCGTTGTATAGATATGGTGGTTCTGCATGCCGTGGTAATAGCATAAACATAAGAGTTGTCTACACACTCTCTGACAAAAGAACCGTAAGTGCAACATTTGTCTACTACGCAAACATTTCGGAATGTTGTACAAAAGCAAAATAAAATATTTTATGAGCATCATTATGTCTGACTCTATGTCCTAATGTTAAAAATTTCACTATCAAATTTAGAATGCGTGAAAGAACTATGGCTATCTAAGATTTGTAAGAAAACTTTTTTAAGTGTTTAAAAACTAATTTTCTGCAAAGGATATTTCAATATTAAAGAATTATGAATCATAGTTTCCTTATCTACATTAAGAGTTAAGACAAGTCAAGCTGGATACAAGCAAATCGTTTATGTACATGTATGTGCTGCCCAGAGCTTGGAAGAAAGTCATGTCGTATCTTATCCTAATTAGGCACGTGCCTGAATTAGAGTGTGCCATTTTATGGTTGAGAGATAGGTTTGGAATATGGAAACCGTTAGTTGCATCTTGCCTGACACGTCTGCTAGAATAAACTTCTTCACTTTATCAAACCACTGAGAGCAATAGTCGTAGAACTTCATTTCAAATTGCATATCTAGAAAGGGCAACCTCTCATTTTTCAAGCACCACTCTGGGCCATAGCCGCTAAATAAGTCCTTCTGCTATCTTGAGATTTTCTATCTAATATTGGATATTATCCTTACGCCGACCAACACCGATGTCACGTCTGTTTTTAAGAGCAACAAATTAGCTCCAAGCACGTAGTCCCATTATTGTGTTTATAATCGTGACTTGCTAAGGTCAATTTTATATCTCTTGA